TCAAGTGTCTTGCAATCTTCTTTGCCCTTTCCCCAACACTCCATATAAATTTATTAAATTACAATTACAATTACATTTGACAATCCACTTAATGACCACAACTGACAGTGCTCAGATTGTGGTGGTTGAGCAAAGCAGTCCCATGGTGTCTTAACAACTGCTTCACTCAATGACCAAGATTTTGAACCCAATCATGGGAGCAAGAGAAAGACTACCTGTAAAACTTATTGATTGAGTTTATTACCAGGCTGGAGGGCCACATACTAGACAATGGAAATACTGAATTTTCCACAATAGCAAGATCAAATGAGTTTTGGAGTCATTCCCAAATTCTATGAATTTCAAAGTGCATTTAAGAATAACTCATATTTTCTGAATGTGGTGCTTCCAAACCTGTTCAATTACATCTATTATCATGCCCAGGTTGCCCACAGTAATGGAAACTGTCGCCTCAAAAATGCCAAGTTGGGAATCATTAATGATGTTAACGCAGTATTCTCTGTTAGTATGTGTTATAAACGAAGCAGTAAATCTGCCAATCAAATTGTAAAAGGAAATGCCATTCATAATTAAATATTTTATTCCTTTTTTATTATTTATGTTGTTGTCTATGCTACCTACTTTCGTACTAGTGTACCAAAGAACTAGAAAACATTATGCTATGAAATTGGTTCAACAACTATCTACACCAACCATTCAAAGTCTTATACGCGTTAGGTACAGATTAAACAAATTGAGTGTCACAGCTCTCTGGCCTTGTAACCTGATTATTAACCAAGCTTTATAGTCATTAAAAACAGCATCTGTTTTCAAAAGCAATAACCATTATTACTGTAGTTACTCAGACATAATATTACTAACGCAGGATCACTAACATCAGGTATCTGTAGGAGATGACCACGCTGGGCCCGAGGGTGAGGTCAAACACATCATCAATTAGGAGTCTCTATACTCCTACAAGAGACTAAAGTCCAATCCCTCTTGAATTGCATTGACTCTTATCTAGGCCCAATTGACCTTGATTATTAATTGATCAGATTGTGTATAGATAGCATGTAATAAACTTGAAGTATTTCGAACTAAACTCTTCTGGTTACTTGCACTTGACAGAATCCCAACTGAGGAAAAGCACATTGCTAGCAAACAACAAAGATATATCTAAGTACAAGGTGGATTACAAATGTTAGAGTTCATAGGGACAGGTTATCTGTTCACATTCTGGAATAAGAGTCTGTCTAATAAAGCTCTTCTATTTTGTCAGAATCTATTTTCAGTAGCATGGTCAAGTGATGTGCTAATTTACCTAGGCTGCAATAACTGACACTTAAGTGGGCATATATAGTGGATTATGTGTCTCTTATGTAAGTAGTTTTGTTCCGCTACCCAAAATGCAATAAGTTCTTGCTGAAATCTTCATATTGCCATTTTCTGTATATTTAATGTGGAATAGACTTTGACAAATTAAACAAACCAATAAATTTATTTGATTGTAAGATGTCATGACATTAAGATGTTGTGCAGCCTACCAAATTAAAAACTTCCCTGTTTAATTCTATTACAAAAAAAATCTAGACCTGCTAATTGAAGAAAAAGTAATTACACATGTTAATAGAGATCTTAAAAGGCTAAGACAAAAAGGACTGCATGATTAAAGAAATTTTAGAACAAGAACTGTTAAGAACAGAACAGTGAAATATACATTTAAGAAAACATAATTTTTAATGTGTATAATGAATGGCAATATGCATTATTCCCAACTGACACTAGATTTGTATTTCCCAAATTCAATGTTTCTAGGAATAATGTTGAGAAAGACAAATGATTGTTCAATGTAAATGAAAGAGTTCATAAATGACAGAAATGGATAAATAAATTGAGGTGCAGTTTAGTGTAGGTGTTGGCCCATAAACCAGGAGACTATATGAAAACCAGCAGGGCGATGTTGAGTCCCCCACTCTTTCTGAGCCCAACCCACCTTACAGGGTTGTTATTGTGGGGAAAAGAAGAAGAAATATTATGTAAATTTGCTGTCTTGAATTAAAGTAATAAAGGTGGGATAAAAATCTAATAAATATATAAATACTACAGTAACTGAGACAATTCAAACTTCTGCCTGTACAAACATGAACCAAGTAACATGCATGCTTGAAGCCCAGTACACTTGTTGGAAGTTTTCTTTAAAAAAAAATTGCATGGTGGGATGCAATATTGGGTCATGGAGATTATGATATGGATAAAATTATTGGTTAAAGTGAGACTCTCAAATTCTTGTGGATTTGATGAATTACTCTGTTAATATTACATTATGGACTAAATATTTGATACTTCATGATTTATTTATTCATCTGATATATTTAAAATATTTATACAGCTGCCCATCTTGAACCAAACTCTTGGTTGCTCACAAATCAAATTATGCACAAATGTGTTGCAAGAATAGCAAAACTCATTTACACTTGGATGGGCCATTTTAAACATACTACTAGCATGTATAAGAACTCTGTAAATACAATATTCAACACACTTTTTGATTAAATAAGCAGTTTTAACTATTTATGTGGCATGTTATACATAAATATATAACATAGTAGCCAGAGAAAAATATATTATATAAATGACCATATGCCAATTAATATAATTTAAATAAATCTATAGATTTGTTAATTGCTACAAATGTAAATATACTTTATACACTGTGATTGTTCAAAGTAGGCATATGTCTTCCTCTGTCTTGTATACAGGCTAGATGCAACTACTGCAGATAACACAGCAAGAGCTGATAAAATATCTTAGTTAAGGAATAAAAGTAGGATTCCTAGCCTAATCTAACATTTGCATGTTGAAGCGCTAAGTAAAATATTAACATTTAGAGCAGTTAAAGACATTGTAAACATATGAAATGATTAAATGAACATAAAATGCAAACATTTACAATAAGTACAAACACATATATGGAAAGGTTCATAAGCTTTTGGAGAACTTAAATACATTAACTTAAATAATTGTTTACAATTACACTTGTTTCCAGATTAATATGCATAGGCGTATATGCAGTGAAATAAATCACCATGAAATGTAATAAGCATCTAATACCTGTATGGTTTTAGTTATAACTTTGGAAATAAAAATTTAGCAGAGACGCAACATTATTAGTCCTTGTTACGTAAATTTAAACATGGCATGGAAATAACAGCAATTTTCTTCTAGGTTTAGTTGCCAGCTATTCTAATTTCAGGAACTAATTACATATGTGAAAGCATATAATAAAATATATACAAGTTACTCAGAACAGGTTCCTATCTCTATATGTTTATGCAGCATTAAACTCCATTGATTTAACTAAAACTTGTAGGCAATATTTTAGTTTAACTGCACATAACCAAATGTATTCGTTCAAATACATATAGGATGTATGGCTTGGACTAGGATGATTTACAAGGTCCCCTCCAACTCTGTTAATCTGTAATCTGTAACCTATATGCCAATTACCATATCATATTATCCATAATGAATTTACAGAAAAACATTGAAGAATGATTTATTTTCTCCAAGAACCTTCTTTTTTTTTAAAAAAAAGCATTACTGTACTTATTTTCTCAATACACCAACTATTAATTTACAATACCTTCTCACGCATACCTGTTTCAAAAGCCTGAACGTTATATTCACGTACGATAAATGGTAGAGCTTGCACCTTCCTACCGTCGCAGACAAACGCAGAACCCGGCGGGGAAGCCGCATCTGCAGGAGGAGGAGCCGGCTGCATTCTGGAAGAGGGCTCGTCAGAACGGTAGCAAAGCGTGAACAATGCAACCGCAGTAAAGACTGGGAACCAAAGCAACCGCTACGAGACCTGTTCGGTGGTCGCTTTTATTTATTTATTTTTAAGGTACTCCAGGACCTCCTCTCCCACTCTGGCTGCTTCTGAATTCCGGGGCTCTGCCTCTTTAAAATTAATTTCTCCCCAAACGCCAGCAGGGGGAGCCGAGACCGTCTCGCCAGTTCCATCGTGACTCTTGTTTTTGTTAAATGGGGGGGTATTTAAATGTCGTGCTGTCAATCAAAGAGCACTTCCCCTCAAAGCCGCGACAGCAGCGAGGGGTTTCCTCGGATAAATTACTCTCCGAAAAGCTGCCTCTCCTGCCAAAACTTCAACGCCAACGTCCGCCAGCCACGGGTTCCTCCAGCCCGGCAGTTGAAAGATCAAAGCCGAAAGGAGACACAAGAAGTCCCCCCGCGCCACCGGCGAGGCAGCCCTGAAACTTGTTCCTTTGTTTCAAGGTCCGTGGATACCACCACTAGCCCCGCGCTCCCCTTATCCGGGCAGAAGCGACCCAGCCTTTCGAAGCGTTCGCCTTTGGGAGGGCGCTTCTCCCTCCCGCGGGACGCGCCCACGCATAAAAGACACGCGCCTCCGCGGAGGACAAGGTCCCACGTCAGAAAAGACCCCAGAAGCCCACGAAACTCGGGCACCCGTGAGCTCAGGAGTCCCCTCGAAGCCTCCTCCCCCTTCCATACCTAGAGAGCAGAGGACGGAGGCACTGACCCTAACCTCGCTACTCGTTACTCACGCACAAAAGACACGAGAACGCAGCCTGGGCTCCCCAGCGTCGTTACGAGAGACTGAAATTAGGGCACCTAAACTTTTCCGCACCCTCCAAAACTCCACCGAAAACCCCCTAAAGCTCTCCGCTAACCTTAGTTCCGGAGTCCTTATATAACTCCACATCGAAGAGGGGGGGGCGGGTTGGGGGAAGAGAGACAAGAGAACAGGAGGGCGACCGCTGCTTTAAACGCCGCTGCTTCCTGGTTAGCCGAGAAGCCCTCAGCCGCCTCTTTCCTCATTGTCCTCCGTTGGTTTCATTCCCTCAGCGCCCACCGAAGGTCTCCCCCCTCACCAGAAAGTGGAAGGGACGGTGTTTCTGTTTTTGTTTTTGTCGTCTCCCCCCCACCAACCGAAAAATAAAAGGACGCGTGGCTGCCAGCCAGCCCCTTTTTACCTGCCGTGGAACCAGTCCTTGCATATGTCGCACTCGATCATGAAGCGGCTCACATCGTAGGGTTCCCGGCACACGCAATACACAGGGGTCGCGTTCGCCGCCGCCGTTCCGGCCATCTTTAAAGAACTCGCTCACTCTCTTGAGTGACTGCCTCAGCCACCCTGCTCTCCAGTCTCGCGCCCCCCCACTCCCCAACTCTCCGCCTTCTCCTCCCCCTCCCCACCGCCACCACGAGCCCCAACCAACAGCCGCCGCCGGCTTAGCCAGTCAAGTCGGCAAGCACCAATAACAACAGCGCGCGTGCGGAACGCCGGCCCTTGACGCGCGCGCCCGCGCGCGCCCCAGTATCCCACATTCAGCGCGCGCCCGCCCTCCCCTTCTTCCTGGCCAGCAAACAAACGGGCGAGGGCACGCGCGATGAAAAGGAACCGTCACGTAAGGTACATCTTGGAGCATGCGCTCTGAAGAGACTATACAGCGTTGGGGAAATGACACTGACGGCGGACGCGGCTGCCGGGGGGGGGGGTGGAAAAGCCGAAGAGGGCGAGATCCTAGGGAAACACCTCGGAAGCGTAGGAGGATTCGTGCGCCTCTTTCCGCTCCAAGAGACACGCGCGCGAAAGAAAAGAAGAGATTGGGTGGGGGGGCTGTTGCGTGAAAGAAGGGGCTCGTGCACCGTTGCCGGAAGTGTGTACAGTAAACTCTCTTTTTTTTTCGGACTTGAACAGACAGCAGAGGAGAGCACGTGTCACCACACAACCCTCCCTTCTGGGGTTTGAGGGTTGGTGTTTTTTTTTTGTGGGCGGGGCTCCAGCTCGCTGGAACAAACGGATAATGAAGTCTCCAGCACATGGTGGCTCCGCCCCCATTCCGCCTCGTCCTGCTTGAAATTCGTCACGTGAGGAAGGAAGGTGCCGCGAGGACATAGAAAACGATTTAAAAATAAATAAAAACCAGGTTCTGTCACAGCGTCGCTCCCTCCCTCCCTCCTTCTTATACAACCGCGCGTTGACGGGCAGAAGGGAGCGCCGCACGGAAACATCGCTCTTGACTTTGTTTCGAGAGGCTGAAAGAGCTCTGACAGCAATAGCTGAGCGAGCATCACCGTGTCTCCCGCCTCGGATACTTTTCTCACAGAACTGAGCCGAAAGACAGCCCCTCACCGGGTTGTCACGTCAGTTGTTGTTTTTTACCCACTACATTATTTTTTGGTCCGTCCGTTCACTTTCGGTGCCCCTAAAATAAGCCGTTACACAATTTAGATGGGGTTTCCCCGTCTCGTCAATATTTTTAAGGCATTCTAGAAATGCTGCTTATGTTTGAGCGCCTCGATGTTAAATTTGCCCTTGTAGTTTTATGCGGCGATCTCTTGCCAAGCTGAAGGGATTCAGAACCCCAAGTGCAGTAGATGGGAATGTGAAAGTAGATAATTAAATAAATGATATTAATTTTGAACGTACTTTAAACAATGTTGGGAATTTAAAATGTTAATGATTGGGGAAGGGGGATTCGTGAGATATTTTCTGGGAAGAAAAAATAGGGTAAATAACTGGAAAAACTAAAAAAAGGTGAAATACAGGGTGTACAGTGATGTTAATTAACTATATGTAAAATTGAATAAGAAATGATAAAGAACTATGTAAAGAATAATACCATGGAAGCTGCAATTGCAAAGCTATGGTTAAAAATGATTAATTTGTAAAGATGAATTAATAGTAATTGAAGACAAGAAGAAAAGAGTGCTTAGTAATGATATGTAAGCTTAAATGAATTAATGGAAAAACATAAAGGATTATATAAAAGAGATGAATATTGATAAAATGGGAAGATTAGAATTGAAACTATGATTATAAATATGATGCATATAAGATGTGACCTGGTCCACACTCTGTCCATAAAGTATGTATGGGGGGGGGGGGGGTTGCAATAAAACTTGTCTTTTAAAAAAAAGTACCCCAAGTGCAGACTGACTTGAAGTATTAGGCTAAAAGAGGGATGGTGAGATTTAGCATTTCCAGTCAATATTTATTTTTTCATGTTTATGTAGTGTATATGGGAGATGGAGACCCTTTGAGAGCTGTATACAATGAAATTACATTTTAATGTACGGCGATTAGTGTCACTCAAAGTGACAAAGTTATTCTAACTTCTGTCTTGTACTACAGAGTCAAAGGGACACCTTGTCTGAGCTTTTTAGAAATATATTCTGAAGAAAAACAAATCCACTGCATATTATGAAATGATGATAATTTAACTATAAATACCAATGCTTCAAAATAAGGGGCAATTGATATTAAGGACAATAATATAATTTTAAATTAACATAGGATTGGTGTCTTTAACACTTTTAAGCCTATAGTTTTCAGTGAGATTTACTTCTAAGTAAATATCTTTGCAAATAAATTCTTACATATTTCATAATGAATGAATATATTGTGAACATGAATTAAAAAGAGATATTCCTTTAAATTAAAGCAAAGGCCTTTCATAAAAGTTAAAAATAATGCTTTGGGAAACTGAATATTGTAAATGAGCTACTATCCTACTTGGTGATCAGTCCTGCTTACCAGCATTGAGATTTCAATAGTAAAAGCATAGAAAGTTGGGCTAAAGTAGATCACTCAATGTGATAACTGTTCAAAATATAAATCTTACCTTGCTATGCCTCTCAAAGCAAAATGATTATGAAGAACAGATTTATATTAGTGCTATAATAGCAATGCTGCAAAAATCCAGATGACCAATAGATAGTAATCAAAAGTTTTCTGCATCTATTTGCTACTATGTAGTGATTAAATGGATTTTTTGCAGCACAAATATGGAAACTCTAGACCAAGGGTGTCGAACTCGATTTCATTGAGGGCTGCATCAGAGTTGTGTTTGACCTTGGGGGTCAGGATGGGCATGGCCAGGGTGGGCATGGCCAGCTAAACGTCACTCGTGGTGGCCTGAGTGCTCTGCCAGTGAAAACAGGCTCCCAAGCGCCATTTCAGCTGCAATGGCCTCCTGAAACCCTCTGCCAGTGAAAACAGAGCTCAGGAGGGACACACGCAGCCCTCCCAAGCTCCATTTTCACTGGCAGAGGCACTGCGGGCCGGTCCTTCGCTATTTACAGGGCGGCCACATGGGCCAAATTGAAGCACCCCACAGGCTGAATCCAGTGGTGGGTTTTAAAAATTTTTAGAACCTCTTCTGTAGGTGTGGCCGGCTTTGTGGGAGTGGCTTGTCTGCCATGTGACCAGGTGGGAGTGGCTTGCCTGCCATGTGACCTGGTGGAAGTAGCTTCCCAATCATGTGACTGGGTGGGAGTGGCTTGCCAGCCATGTGACTGGGTGGGAGTGGCTTGGTAGTCATGTGACTGGGTGGGCATAGCCAACTTGTAAAATGTGATGAAACTCACTTAACAACGCTCTTGCTTAGCAACCAAAATATTGGCTCAGAAACTCTGGCATTTGAAGCACGCAAGTCTTAAAGCTGTCAAGTTACAAGATCCTTGCACCCCTAACCCTTTAGAAAAAAACCTGCAGGGGTGTTCAAACTTGACAGCTTTAAGACTTGTGGACTTCAACTCCCAGAATTCCTCCTCTCACTCTTCATCTTGATGATGTGCGAATGGGTGGGGGGAGGTAGCTGGAACCGGTTCTAAACAGCACTGTAGATTTGTCGAACCTCTTCTATAGGAGAGGTTAGAACTGGCAGGAACCCACCCCTGGCCGGATCCAACCCCGGAGCCTTGAATTTGACACCCCTGCTCTAGACTAAAGTCACAAGGAAATTATTTGTAGATAGAACACCACGGAGCTATAAGGTATGGTCATTCTGGATAATACATCTTTCTAGCTTATTTTGTTGGATATACTTCATTGTTCTAGAAATGATAATGCCTGCAAATATTATAAGTTTCATAGATAAGATAGCCTCAAATTTCCTAAAGCTCTCAAGTTATCACTTTTTCTTATTTTTAAAGAGAAAGTTATTGATTTAGGGAACAGAAGAAGAAAACTCTATAGAGTTCTCATAGATATCAAAATATTCATCTGTGAGGTCTGGAGGAGGGTGGTACCATTGAAACCACAACTTACAGGGTTTTTGATTCCTAAAGTTCATTTAAAGTGGCTTGTTGTTCAGTGAAATGGTGGCTCTTGCACTTGTAGTATTGTTCAGTTAAGGGGGAAAAAGCAACCTCTAACAGTGTGCTGCCATTTTGGATGGTGACTGACAGCCTGATCCTGCCTCTGAGACCAGTCCTCTCTTTGCAATGTGACAAGTCCCAGCTGCAAGGAACTCACCATCTCATAAACCAAAACCTGCTATTCAATAAGGCCAGCTGCAATCTGCTCCATTTTATGGTAATTAAAAATAGCATTTGTGCACCTGGTAGGCTGCCAGTGCAGCTGCTGCAGATATGCACTAAATTTGAATGCCTAGATGCCATACATATCATCTCATCCTTCGGTTCATCTGGAATATGCAATAGAGCAAATGTCTCTGGCTACCATTTACAAATTGTGTCAAGCTCTGTAATAAGGGATTCTGTAGTAGAATTTTTAGTGGAAGTTCAAAATGGTTGTATTTTTATTCTGAGAAATCTGCAGTAAATTTATTTTTATATAAATGTTGGGTCTCATTAGCTTTTGCATGAGTTGTGTTTCAGGTTTTGGAAATAAATTTCCCTGAATTCAGTTAGGTTGAACTCCATGGGATAAGTATACAGCCTTTGTGTATCATTTCTTCAGTCTTAGTTATTAGAAGAAGAAAGTAATTTTCCAGACAAATGTGTTCCTTTACCCCTTCTGACTCTTACTAGTAGTTCTTCATTGCCTAATTTTTTATCATTGGATGACTTACCTCATTTCTAATTAAGCAGATGTTGCATGTTTCATAATACTACAAAAACTTGTAAAACCTGTGAATAATGATGATACATAGATGAATATTCTACCCATAGGCAGGATTGACTCTATTGTATCAGCACATCTAAATAAGCTGTTGCTCAATTTACATGTCTACTATTATAATAAGATGGCTAAGAAATTAAACACATTGCAGCTTCTGCCAGCAGCAGGAGTACCACATGTTCCACCTATGTTTTATAATCCTTAAGCATGTCATCTGAATTTAACAAACTAATTCTGGCCTGGCTTATTAACGATCAATTAA